TTAAATTTTTTCCTCAGTTCTTTCAGCTTGAGAAATGCCAAGTGTGTTCTTCCCTTTGGTTTTCTAACTCTTGGTCTTTGCAGATTTTGTTTTTGTCTGCTCAAGCTGCTCTTTGAAATCTGTTAAGCTCTTTAATCTTGTCATTACTTCCATTTGCTTTAGCTGCTCTCTGCTCAAGGGCACATTTCAGAGTTTCTACAACATACATGGAGTTTCAATCTCCCTAGTTGTTGCATGATATGGCCACAGGATTCTAAGATACAGCTAACACTTGTTTGATTTCATAACTATATAATTTGAGCATCCTAAGTTCAAAATGACTCAAAGACTCATGTCCATGTGCTCAACGTTTAATACAACTTAAGAATTCTATGACTTCAGGCATAATTGTTTTTTGAGTAATAAGTTACCAAAGGCTACGTTATTTATAATTCTTATATCATGAGGGAATTATGATAACCAAGCACTGTGTTCTAAGGGATGATGGGCCTCAGGACTCCATGATTCCAAAACTCTGAATTCCAGAGACTGTATGATTCCAAACCTCTGAGATTTCAGTGCCCTATATAGTCCAAAGTTCCTAGCTTTCCAGAGTTTTAAGGTTCAGTGACTTTCTGAGGTCTTTGCACAACTAGATCTCTATGACCCTAAAATTTAATGGATCCTCAATCTTATTGCCTTATGTCCCAAGGGTACTGTGTTTCAATGGCTTTAAGGTCCAAAAACTGCACTATAACTGGACTCTAAGGCCTTATAATTATAGAGCCTCAAACAGCTATGGCTTGAAAACGCTTCTTCCTGCACTTTAGGGTTTCATGCTTTAAAAGACTAAGCTTCTTTGTTTGCTGGAACATAAGTCAAAAGGTCTATGGCTCCAGAATTCCATCTCAAAGATGCTCTGGCAGAAAGGTTAAAAGATTCAAAGGTTCTATGACCTCAGAATTCTATGTTTCCTAAATCCTACAATTCCAGTGTGCTATACTGTTACTGGGAGCTCTGGTAGCATAGTGGCTAAGACACTTGCCTGCTAACCAGACGGCTGGCGGTTCACACCCACCAGCCACTCCTTGGAAGGAA